AAAGAGATGGAAGTAACGACTTTTGAAAAGTGGACCGGTGACAACTTACCATGGCTGTTGTGGAGGTTCTAAAGATTCCCCAGAAATTCCGTACAAAAAGAGTGTAATGTTTGATGAATCTTGGTAGTGAGAGTATAGATTTATTTAATTCTTGATGCTGTGTCAGGTACACCTGGGTAGGTACAATTGAATTGATGTATTGATTAGATCAAAAGAAGGCAAGAAGGGAAAATGGAATTGAGTGAAATCAATTGGACAAATCAATGTTATGTGTGGGAAGAGTCGAAGGCAGGTAATGAATGGATGAATGGATGAATGGTAACAACCTTATGAATGGTAATTATGATGAAGATGGAGAGGCTGAATGTTGTGGTTCGGTTGCTGGTGTAAACAAAGCCAATTGGAAGCCCACCAACAGCAAGGTTATCTTGATGCATTGATTTGATTGGTGAATTGAGTGAATTATAATTAGATAATAAGTTTCCTAGCACGAGGCTAATAATAACATAATAACTGGACGGGAATGACTGGACTGGACTGGCGGGACTGGGAGAGATGCAAAGGATTCCAAGAACTTGGATATCTACCTGGGTAGGTAGGTACCTAGGAAGGGAGTGGGGGTTGAGATCCTCACTCAGATGATGAATCATGAAGCACATTTTATATTCTTTATGACCTTGATACCATGCCTCATGCCTAGGTATGGATGCAATGGATCATGCTACAAGTGACTAATCGGTGATTTTTATTGTGAATTAGACTTTGAACCAATGATTGGGATATCTTGGAATCCTAGGGACCAAGTAGCCTTGTGAGTATTCCAGTACCAAGGTATGTAAGTACGTACACCTAGTATATACCCAGGTAGGTAGGGAAGGTAGATGACAGCGAGATACTACCTGGTAGATGTGACAGATAGTTAGATGGAGAGATGGATAGCTAGCCTTGTACTAGAGCATTCGATTAGTCGTACATAATACTCCGCAGGTAGCCAGCCGTGCCAGTCATTTTCGCAATCGCCGAACTTCACAAGTTGTTATAATCATCACAATCCCGGTTGGGGAACCTGGACCCTTATTTATGGATAGATGGATTCTACCCCTGAAACGGAAGAAAAGAGGTAGCAAACCATTACCACACAACCAACCATACAACCCTACAACCCTACAACACATAACTGGTTATCGGAAACACAAGAGAATTGGTGTTGCAGAAATATTCTCTCACTATTGTATCAACATCCTTCGACTCAATAATGATACGTTACTTGAGCACTTGAATACCTCCAAGACTAATAAGGTACTTACTATATCAATACATGGCTACATGAATACATGACTACCGACCTACTTACATGACCATATGAGACCTCTAAATCCTTTTCGTCTCATTCTTATTTAGCTTCTCCTTTTCTCTCATCTTACTTCTACTTCCACGTTACATGTATCTGGTTTGACTTTGATCCTTTCTTACATACATGATTTCTCTTCTTTCTCGCCCTCTTTTTCCCCTTCTCCTCCTCCTCCTTCTTCTTCAACGGTAATATACATAAAATCTAGACGGCGATACCCTTGAAATCCAAAAATTCTTCGATGGTCAACCTGCGCACGGATTGAATGAAGGCCTCAATCTTCCGCTAGGAAGTCTGAAGTCTCACAAGTGGGACTGTTACTGATACTAGCGTGAACCTAGCTAATAATTGCTTTCTTGGTCTACAGGAGATTCCAGTATGGCATCGGCACTTCCATATGCGCCTCCAAGTCGCAAGGCCAATCCTACAAATATGTCGATGCAAGCACTTCGTCCCACCACGCGGGGTACAATAGGAAGTGGAACAACAAGTTCGAATGGGAGTTTTCAAAGGAGAACTTCCTTATCTTCATTTCCATCCTCTCGTTCTCCTTCAGTCATGTCACAACGTCGTCCTTCGCGAAGTCCGAATCCACCACCAATAGACACGGATCGAACTTCTGATCCAAGTACCGTCACTTCTAAAACTCCCACCAGCGGTGTATCGTCCCAACACTCATCATTGTCCGCTCCAAATAAATATAATCCAAGTGCACATCCTGTCAGAAAACTGAAATCACAATATCCTCGAGGAGATACAGAGAATCATGTCGAATATATACTGGTGGCATCATTTGATATTGACAAGGGACCGATTATGGAACATCAATACCCTGTTGCTATAACGGGCGACGAGCATATGTTAGCAGAATTGATGTTACCTGATCAAGCCCACGTTCGAAACCAAGATTGGACAATATTCTTCCTACATAAAGATACGAGTCAGGACGAAGAAGAGGCAGAGGAGAAGGCAGAAAGAAAAAGGTTACGAAAGGCAGAAAAAGAAGCTAGGGCAGCTCTTTTTGAGAGTGGGAATGTTGACCCTTTAGAAAGGGTAGATGGTAGTGAGGAGGATTCATCAGAAGATGATGAACCAGAAGGAGGCGAAGGTCCGCCTTTAATATATGTTTTGAATCTTGTCAACACAAAGCAAGACAAGACGGCCAAAAGAGGGGCTGTAGTGAAAGCCATGGCAATATGTACTCGACATCCATTTCTGCACATTTATAAGGTGTGTCATTCAAAAATGCCCAATTGGAAACCTACTAATTCTTGACAGCCACTTCTATTGTTAGCTCTTGAAGAATATTTTAAAACACCTCAACCATCTACGCTGGCGGAGTTATATGAGGCTGTAAATACAATGGATTTATCATTAATGCCTAAATTGAGCATACTCGAACGTCATCTTCTACAAGCTAGCGACAACAAAGATCTATTTGTAGAGAAGTTCGAACAGATGATTCAAATGCGTATGGCGGAGGACAAAGGCGAAGCGCTGGACGATATGGCAGCCATGTCCGAAAGTCCAGAAAGGAGACCAGGTTTGGTGCGAAATGGTACAAAAGCACATGTTCAACAACTAATACATTCGAATTACTCGGTACCTCGGGACACACACGAATTTGAGACCAAGGTCATGTATAATGGAATTCCGATACCTATCAAGGTTCCTGTTGCAGTATCTCCTGAGACAGTCGGGGATTTTTCTCTTGTAAAACTCATACAAACATACAACGATCCTCATGTCAAATCACCCATTCCGTTCGCGCTACATCCTCATCTTACAACGGGAGGTGTACATACTCATCCTATCATTGTGCTAGTCAATGCAATGTTAACTCAAAAACGTGTCATCTTCCTCGGCCACAATCGTCCATCAGGTGAAGTTGCTGAAGCTGTACTTGCAGCTTGCGCTTTAGCATCCGGGGGAATTTTGCGTGGATTTACACGCCATGCTTTTCCATATACCGATCTTAGTAAAATCGACGACCTTTTAAAGGTACCAGGATTCATTGCAGGCGTAACAAATCCAACTTTCGAGAATCATCCAGAATGGTGGGACGTATTATGTGATATACCATCTGGTCGAATGAAAATCAGTAGTCGAATCGAACAAGCACCACTTACAGAAGGACTTGCAAATTTCCAGCAACAAAATCCGGCTTATGCTAGTGCTACAAATGTTGCAACGGCCACTAGCCAGGCTGCCAGTGATCCAACAGGCGATGCTGCATTCATGAATGATGTGATCCGCAGTATTGCAGCTAGACATGGTGAGGGTGTCATTCGAGCCAAATGGCGAGATTGGGTTGTCAAATTTACCAGAATCTCGGCCCAATTTGAAGAGAGTGTTTACGGTGCAAGTGCTTTGTATATTGGGGTAGAAAAGGCAGAGCCCGGTAATGAAAACGTCAGCGGCCACGGATACGTTTGGCCTGATGATCATGCGAAATTCCGTGAGCTCGCTAGTAACGTAAATCGAATTGAGGGCTGGAGATCCACTCGAAGTTACTACAGCTTCAAGCAGGTATGTCTTGTGCTTGAACTTTCATGATATTAAGGACTTACAATACTCAGGACCTCGTACAACTGTACAACTTTCGACCTCTCAAAGCCCTCGACCTCCATCATTTACACGATCGTCTGCGAATGACAAAGCTTACTCCTAGTGCAAGCCGTGATATATACGTCGCCATGGAGAAATACACACATTCATATGATGAAATATGTCAGCTTCTAGCCGTGGCACCCGAATCACATGCAGGACTCTTCTATATTGCCCTTGGTCTTTTTCACAAAGATCGAGATGTTCGGATGAGAGTTGTTGATTTGTTGGAAAGGGTCAGCGATCATGAAGCTGGGCGACATTGGTGGAAAGCCTTGAGTCGATTCGAGAAATTAGCTTTTATTCGCATTAGGAGAGAAGCAGAAGCAGAGATAAGGGCTAAGTTGGGGGGTGTTGAGAGAGACATCTCGGCTGATGGTGACGCAATGGTTTTGGGAAGACGAGTCAGTTGATATAGCAAGAGAAGGATTTGATCGCATGTTGGTGTTGGCTTCTTTTTATGATTTTACGAGATCATGATCATCGCAATATTAGATGGGAGGTGCTAGGGTGCAATTGTTTAGGGACTGCATTGATTCATTACTGGACTGAGAATTACAGAGCCATGAAAGAACGAAAGGAAGTTCAAGAGATAGATACCCCAGGGAGACAGAACAGTTTTGCGGTCGAATGGAACGGCATTTATGACAATGCCACCATCATTTTATGATCCGTATATTTCGTCTGGACATTGAACTTGGCGAATGTCCCCGGCTAACTTTGATCCTCCCGGTGAGCCAATGTAATTTATATGCCTCGACTTGCGAAGAACCTACAGGAATTATTTTCCTATTACAGAATCAAAAATCAACAATGGAAAGCTAGACCCAGAATTCCGAGTAACGTCCGAATAATGTGGGGTAACATCAAGCTTCGAAGGAGGGGTCGAATAGCTTCAAACGTCATGCCCACATCATTGTACGGACCATAAACAAACAACATTTCCTCCATCTCTCACACTTCCTTCCATCTTCTCTGACTATCATAATCTAACACATTGAATTATTCTCCAAATATCCAATTAAAGTCTCTACAGTTAAAGATGTCATTCAAAACTACAGCAACCATTGCCTCCTTCGGCGGCAAATTGCTAAAACTTACACACGATGCTAGCACAGTGGGCTGCGAGATGGCATTGAATCTCTATCTACCACCTAAAGCTTCCGCGGAGAAAAAAGTGCCAGTGATTTTCTACCTAGCGGGTCTTACTTGTACGGGAGACAATGGAGCTGAGAAGGGATTCTTCCAGAGTGCGGCGAGTGAGAAGGGAATTGCGGTGGTTTATCCAGATACTAGTCCGAGTAAGTTTCTTGAAGAGTTCGGAGAAGAGGATATGGTTCCTTCTTTTTGCGGTTGTGGTTGAGGGAGGGAATGAGTATAGAATGACGAGAAAGCGGATAGCACACTATCTACTAATCGAAACCCCTAAGCTAATTCATCCATTCAACAACAGGAGGTCTCAACATAGCCGGCGAAAATGATTCCTGGGATTTCGGCACCGGAGCTGGCTTTTACATCGACGCCACTAATCCTCCCTACTCCACAAACTACAAAATGTATAGCTACATCACCTCCGAGCTCCCCTCTTCTCTCTTCTCCTCCTTCCCCGAACTCGATTCTGAGAGGAAAAGCATTATGGGTCATTCGATGGGTGGTCACGGTGCTCTTACTCTCTTCTTGAAGAACCCGGGAATGTACAAGAGTGTGAGCGCTTTTGCGCCAATCTCCAATCCGGTTAAATGCCCATGGGGAGAAAAGGCTTTTAAGGGCTATTTTGGAGAGGAGAAGAAGGACGAATGGAAGAAGCATGATGCGACGGAGTTAATCAGTGACTTTAAAGGAGAGTTTCCGGCTTTGATTGATGTGGTGAGTTTTCATTCAAATATATCTCTGGCATGCATTGGAGGATGGCATGGATTGCTGACATGATTGGAAATCACACAGGGAACGGGAGACAACTTTTATAAACAGGGACAGTTGTTACCAGAGAATTTCGAGGCTGCGGCCAAGAAGTCAGGAAATGACGGCAATTTGACGCTTAGATACCAAGAGGTAGGTTTATAACTATATTCTCTATTATCTTGAGTGGTTTTGCAGGTGGGCAATTAGACTAACAATTTCTGATAGGGATACGATCACTCATACTTCTTTATCTCGACATTTGGAAGAGATCACATTGAACATGCCGCTAAATATTTATTCGCATAGTATGTCTTCGGTTTTTTTCTCAGTCTCATAAAGTACAGGAGTCAAATACTGAATTTCATAGAAGCAAAAATGATCATGTAAATAGTTATAAGCTTTAAAAACTATATTTAGCGATTCTTCTCATGCAACAAATTGCCTAAACATGTATACCTAAACTTGCAAGCCGCAGGAAAGTAGCATATATCTTGTCTGCGCGAAGTCTGCAAGATGGACAGATAGGACCCCCAAACACTTTCACTGTTCCAAAAAATCCGATATTGAAATGTCGACTTTGCACAAATGTTCTTGTTCTGGGTAGGCAGAAGATTGCGTTTCAACGTAATGGACTGTTCTGAATGAAAACTGCTCCAAACCCAAATTCGTGAAATCAATTGTCCAGGAATGAGGCCCATGTAGGAATCCAGAAAGCTAAATGCGCTCACCGTCCGATCAAGGTAATGCATAGTTTTCGAATACTCGAGTCAAACTGGAGCTCATTCTGTGACTGGAAGCTGCGCAAGCGTTTTAAATGAAATTGTAACCTCAGGCGATGCGTCCAAGCATGTTTACCATCATCAAGGCCAATTTTATCCATGTATTTCTCAAAGTATATGATTTCCAATTACACATAAGCAAACGCCTTTCATACGCCAATCGCCCGTTCCATGCGTCTCCCCGCAAGTATTACCGCAAATGCAAGTGGATCACCACCATCATCTCTCACTGCAGCAATTCCTCGCAAGTCCAATCTTCGTACCTATCAAGATAATCAGTGAAATTCCTCAAGCCATCGAAATGAACCTACCATCCATCGGGCATATAACGTCTAACGATCAGCGGAATCTTTTTGTCCCTCAACTCCTTAATCGCAATTTGCAATGGATCCGTCTCACCCTCCTGATCAACCAAAATCGGCGCATTCATACTAATTTGCAAGGCTCTAGTGCCTAGGATACGCGCACGCTCGTATTTGGTCATGTAGGGTGTGGTAGTTCTTTGCTCCTTTGGAATTTTCTTGTCCTTGGGCGCAATGTTGCTTTTGGCTCGATTGGCAGCATGCACATCTCCCGATGTGACGACGCCGCGCTCGCCGGTAGTGAGGAGCTGATCGGGATTCTGGGTCGATACGGCGACATCATCTACTTCGCCTGTGGAAACATTGTTCATGTCTTCCATTCCCTCGGGATCATACTCGGGCTCTTCGGCTTCATCGTAGGCTGGGGAGAAACTGGGGGAGATGCGTTAGTTATGGTTTGGAGAACAGCTTTGCGAATGGACAGTCTGAGTATGTGCTATGTAGGAAGAAAGTAACTCACCCGCCATCATAGTTCTCCTCGTCGTCAGACATTTTGGTATGTGATAATTAATGAGGGTATTGTTGAGAGTTTTCTTTGTTGAAGGGAGATTTAGTCGGTGATGGATGAAGAATCTCAAAAATAAATTTGGCGCGGCTGATTTCTTTGCGCCTCGATTATTCGAGCTCCATATAATTTAAGGTTTGGGTTTAGCGCATTTTCGGTCATTAGCGTGCCAAGATTTCGAACCTTGCGATAGCCACAATAATTTTATGAAATATTTCGGATAAGGTGATGGATGCAGTTTGAATTGAGGATTTTTGAAGCCAATTCAACAACGTCCGGAATCAGCAATGGCGACAAATACTAGAAAGAGAACAGGAGATGATTCTCTAGAGCTTTCTACGAAAAGGTTACGAATTGATGCCTCGAGTTCTCTACCAGGTTAGTGCAAATAGTTCCTGGTCTAGACTTCAATTTGGGAACTCGAGATTGACGATCACATAGCGGCAGATGTACTCGATGGTGATAATGATAATGAATACAAGCCGGAACAAGACCAGATCTCGGAGGAGGAGGAAGATACTATTGAAGCAGCAGACACACCGAATACACCATTTTCACCTGTACCTGGAAAAAAATTCCCATCCGAGTATAAGACGATTAAATGTACGTATGAAGGATGTACAAAAACATTCAATCGACCTGCAAGATTGGCAGCACATCTACGATCGCATGCAAATGAAAGACCATTTATATGCTCATATGAAGGGTGTGATAAGGCATATATTGAGGAAAAACATTTGAAGCAACACATCAAGGGATCTCATACTCACGAACGAGAATACACATGTGATTGGGAAGGGTGCAGTAAAAGTTTCTTGACGGCCACGAGGTTAAGAAGGCATAAGGATGCTCACGAAGGCCATGAAAGGTTCAGATGTACATCATATCCTCCCTGCAATCAGACGTTTCGAAAACATCAAACACTCCAACGCCATATTCGTTCCGACCATCTCGATTTGGCTCCATTCCCATGCACATACATCGATCCGATTACGAATGAACTCTGCAAAGCAGGATTCGATGCTTCAGGTGGCCTCAAAAAGCATATGGAAAGAACTCATGGAGTAGCCACGTTTCTATGCGAAGAATGTACAGTACCAGGAAAATTCCACGAAGATGGTACACCCGTACCGTTAGCTTTCACAACGAATGCCAAGTTACAAGCACACATCAAGAAAGAGCATGCAAATTGTATGTTCTGTGATCGAAAATGTTCCAGTCAACAACTACTTCAAAAACATATAGATACTCAACACTCGGGCACTACACTTGAAGAACGTAAGAATATATCTTGTGAATATCCGGGATGCCCGAAGACCTTTACCAAGAGAGCAAACCTACAAGTTCATATGCGCACTGTACATGATGGACAGCGTTTTATTTGCGGAACATTTGATGTTTCCCAAACTCCCGACCTCGCATCTTGGAATGGAAGCGATTCATGCGGTAAAGATTTCGTATCGAAAGTTAATCTTGAAGATCATGTTCGAACACATCATCTCGGCTTACCCAGTGTTTTGAATGCGAGGGGTAGACGGAAGACTGATTCACAAACTAGACGTTCTGCGAGAAGGGCACCCGAGCAAACCGAAATTGAGGAGTTAGCAGGGTATGATGCCAGAAGAACAATTGATTGTGTAGTTCAGGGATGTCCTCATAAATTTATGAGAGATTATGATTTCCATGAACATATGAGAATTCACCACCAGGATGTCGGTTTTATGGATGGTCAGAATGATTTGAATCTAAATATCGATATGAGTATGATGGACCATTTCCCTTATACAGATAATGGAGGAGAACTACCAAGTCTAGATTTCATGAATGACGGTACGGGGATGGATATAGGCGCTCTAGACATGGGAATGGATTTGATCGATCCGGCATTACATACACCCAACTTCAATCTGGAAGCATCGGCATCGGGATCAGCAGCAACCTCCGTAGCACCTTCAATCAATGGATGGGATACCGCAGGTGTAGTTGCAGAAATAGATCTGGATTGGGACTTTCAAAGACAGCTATTGGAAGGAGGACGATTTTGGATTGGTGGGGATGAACAGCAGGCTCCCGGGGGTTCACAGGAGTGGTCACGAGATCAGGCAGAGATGAGGAGTTTGATTGATTGATAGATGCCACCTGATGAAGGTCTAGAACTTCGAACTTAGCCTCGTCTCAGTCATTGGACTTGCGATAGGTCGAAGATATAGACCTGAAAATCTCGAGATGTTTTACATTGCAAAGAGCTACCCGGTGGCTACAGCGAAATACATCAAATACTCGCCCTCTTCGCTAGGTCAAATCAGTTTTGGGAGTGTAATTGGGTAGTAATGGAAATCCATAACATGATTTTCTTACTTATCTAGTGAGGGATCAAGCGGGAAAAAAAGAAAAGATCAGAGATAGCAAGCGCTGCATACATCTCTACGATGTCGTTATAGCTGGACTATACATTGCATTGTAATGCATCGTACTGAATTGTACTATACTATACTGTATTGCGTTACTACCGGAACATAGACTTGCGGGATAAAAGAGAGGCAGTGGAAAGATACCTCTCTACCTCTCCTATGGTGGAATACAAATAATGAATAAATACCATGCTTTACGTTATACATGATTATAATAATCATACGTACATTATCACCATGATTATTACTTCTCGCTTGCTTATGAGTTACCTTTATTGTTACTTAAGTCAGTCGCTCGTATAGTATTGTATATGTATGTGTACTTTTTCCCACCAAGGGAAGTAAGTCGTGTATACAAAAAACGTCCCTACATACATACATGTATTCAATCTCAAGTAACCACACCCACCTAACCCCATACCCACCTCACCCCAACAAACAAACTTCAACATAATCGATTACTCAATCAATCAATCAATCAATCAATCAATCAATCAATCAATCAATCAATCAATCAATCAATCAATCAATCAATCAATCAATCAATCAATCAATCAATCAATCAATCAATCAATCAATCAATCAATCAATCAATCAATCAATCAATCAATCAATCAATCACAAACTCACAAACTCTCATACTTTTATTCCAACAAAACATACATTCCCCAACTTTCTCACTCCATTCCATTCCATACCATTTTATTCCAACTCTACGATACGCTATACGCTATACCTATCACCACACTACACGATACCATAAAACAAACAACCCCTTTCCTTAACCGAAAGAACCACTACTCAAATTACCTATTCCTCGCTGCGTGTTTATACACTTAATTTCATCTAATCTAAACCAATCCCTTCCGCACTATACCATACCATACCATACCATACCATACCGCCACACTACACCTGTACCGAATTGTAAAAAAGGAAATGCAGATATAAGTATATTCTACTCTACCCTACTCTAATGCTATTTATTGAAGTTATCGCTATTGCTATTGATGCTATGCATTCATGCCCATGTAATCCTTATGCTTATCTGTATCTGCATATGCATAACCTAACCCGACATAACCCATACCAATACAAAAGAAAAGAAAAGAAAGGAAAAGAAAAACAAATGTAGACTCAAACCTCTACCCATTCAAGCACATTCGCTCGCTCGCCCAGTAAAACCACACAACCCAAACATTCCTATCTCAATAATTTCAACCTCACCAATCCATCCGCCGCTTTCCTTGATAACTCCGGGCTTATCCCCCTTTCACACACACTCCTCTCCTCATCCGGCTGCGCAAAAAATATCGGTGGATTTGCAAGTCCTATTTTTTGTCTTTCTAAAATCGGGGTTCTTATCTGGGTATTTTCCTGACCACCGATCATTTCGTATTTTCTTCTTGCGACTTCTTGTTCGAAGTTGATTATCATTTTTGTGTCTGTTTCTTTGGATTTGGGGTTGGATTTGGAAGTGGTATTGGGAATGGGAGCAAGAGGATGTGCATGACCCAAGCCTGAGCTCGAACCAAAATTCGAATTCGGATTTGAATTGGAGCCAAAAGAAGTGCAGGAAATAGCAGAATCTCTTCTCGATAATGAATCCGGTTCTCTTCCGGATAAAGGAGGACTAGAAGAAATATTGATATTCTCATCACCATCCTCTCTCTCCCCTCTTTTCTCTCGGACAAAAACACATGCATTCTTATTCGCAGAAGCAGGAGCTTGTATATTAATAGCTGGAACTGCTTCTCTTCCTGTATTCGTACTAGGCGCACCAGGAAGTGGTGTTCGTCCCATCCTCTTCCCATAAGAATATCTGCGAAGACGAGCAAGAGAAGGAAGTTTTGGTGATGTAGAACGCACTTGTAGACGTGAAAGAGGAAGGTCGATTTGGTTTGTTTTTACTTTATAGTTTGCGAGGGAAAGACGGAGACGTAACTCTTGGGATTTCTAGAGGTTGTGTTAGCTTTTTTTATTGGTCACAAGAAGTAAAGGAAACAAACTTGACGAATTTCTTCTCGTGATAGAGATTTTGATTTTGAGGTTCGGAAGGTCTTTGACGTGGATATAGTAGTGGGTATGAAAGATGATTCGTTGGATATGATAGTTTCGGTCGATTGGGAATTATTGCTGATGATAACTGCGTCTTTTGCGTTTACTATGGAAGGGAAAGATGATGACGAAGAAACAGATGTGGAAGAGCGATTTGGGGAAGACTGCTTCTGAGGTGACCTTGATGACTATATATGTATATCAGTAAACTAAATTTGTCAAAACGGGTAAGAAGTACATACCTTTTGTTCTTGGCCATTCCCCAAATCACTCGACTCATCTGTTATTCCAACTCTCTCATCACACGCCTTCGCCTCGGGGCCTGCTCTGGCTGGTGACGAGGTGGGTTGTAACGACGTAGATTGCGGGAGTGAACTCACACCTGCGCCAGACCCTTCAAGCAGCGAAGAGTTTCCCGATGATGGTGCAATTCTGCATCGCTTCGCACCGGATGCTCCCGGTCGACTCGATACAACATCTTGTGATTGTACAGTACATGACAAGCGTCTCTTTGTGTTAGCCAAGGAGGCCCGCTCAGCAATTGAAACGTCAACGCCGTGGATTGTGGTAGCCTCCAAGCCTTGATGAACGTTATCTTTATTCGTTGCTTTTTCCATATTTGCAACTCGGGAATCCGTACTCGTGTTCGTCTCCTTCCAATTTTCCCGCTGTAAAGTCGTTGTCGACGGTCCCGCCACTTGCGAGGGGTCGTTTGGAACTTTTCCGGGGTGGTTACTAGACGATACTTTCTGAATCTTGTTATCTGGCCATAGCCATTCAGGAATCGTTTCTCGCCAAAGGTATGATGCATGATTGCTATCAGTGACTGAAGTATTGATATTGATATTGAGATCCCCCAAGACGCGACGCGTAGTTGATGATTTTGGTGAAGTCATTGTGAAAAGTGAAGGGAACAACTTTAAAGTAAAGTAAAGAATCGACTAAACAATAAACTGTAGAAGTTTGGATTTTGGAAAGCGCGTTCGTGGTTGATTGTAGCTTCCTGAATATGTCTAATAATCCACGATTCACCAGCACCCGGCCATACTTTTGGCAGCGACTCACTCTCCAATAACTTACAGATAAATCTCCTTTTCAATTTTTGAGAAGAATTGATAACAAATAAAGTACAACTTCAGATATCTAATTCCAACAGAGATCCAAGAACAATTATAAGTAAATATTCAATTATTCTTTCTCATCAGACTTTCAAATCGCGTCTCATGATATAATGCGGGATCTCTCGAGACGCGATTCTTGGGCAACTTTTATTGTAATTCTGCCGCTTCCTAATAGACCGCCTTGATAAGAAAATGAGGGGCTAGCCGAACTCTCAGATACCACCTGAGCCACGGAGTCACTATGAGCAGCTCATCACGTGCTAATTTCATCTCCTCTCAACAGGGTAGACGGGGGGATTCACACACACTGACCCATCTAAAATGACATCTCACAGGCCAGGCAATAACAGGGTCTTTTAGAGGGCGCCACGCAGTAACCAACCATATCAAGCTGAGATCCTTTCCAATCCTTCCACCTTCCACCCTTCCACCCCTAAAGCGATTGCGGCCCGTCAACCTTAAAAAAAACTACCTGGACCTGGCCACCCGTTGCAAATGCATGTCGTGCCTTGAAGATCAGGGTCTTGCAGGGAACTAAATCAGAAAGAACCTTGATGCTTCAATGAAAAGTAGAAAGCATGATTGGGGATGATCTATGCTGCATTTTAGAGTTGAGATTCTATCAATAAAAATAAAACAGACGCACACACACATATATAAACATTCAAATATGATAATCATTTCTTTTATTTGCTTCAACTGCAATCAAAGTATTTTACAGCATATAGCTATACCTAATCCAGATCGGATTAAAAACAAATGTAACTAACTCATGCTTCCCATTTCGTTGCTCCACCCATCTCAAACGAGAAGAAAGTCCAAGAAAGAGTAATATATATTTGTCCAAGAAGGCCCATTATAATCATGATATGTAATAATAACCAAAAAATTATTCCAGTCAAGGAAAATTCTTCACCCCACTGAACGCCCTGCTAAAAACAAAAGTACTAGGTGAATATCCTGTCCTTCCCTCCTAGTAGTCTTATCCCAAGACGCCGTGCTTTTCATTGGTATATCATCTCATTGATTTTCCAAAATACCCTGTAAACCCTTCCCACCAGAGAAACGCCCTCCAAAAACCATGATACAACCCCATCTACCCAACTAGATATCCATCGAATAATGCTCATCTATGTTGAATTGAAATGGTTCATTAAAATTTACTTTGCCATCCATATCATCCCATGTTTGTGGAGCGTTAGCAAACTCCACACCATCAAACATGGTCAAGTCTTCATCAAGATTTGCGTCGTAGGTGTTCGTGTGGTTTTCCACAAGAGCATCAGTATCACTGAGTCCGAACGGAAACCATGACTCATCAAACCCGTCCAAGGCAATGTCCAAGTTGACCCCTTCAGAGATATCACTAGTGGGCTCTGATACACCGTCTTTACTCGATTCTGGAGTATCATTTGGTGTGATGGACCGGTAGTTATTCACATCAGAGATTGCCCCGCTAGCGCCACCTTCAAATGGCTGGAAAGCGCGGACAAGCTCATTAGGATCAATCGTAGCATTCGCCCAAGGATCTAAGTTGACTTCTTGAGTTGGTGCATTCGGTTCATCCTTGTTCATGCCTTTCTGGGACTTGGCTGTATCCGTAACCAAGCCAGACTGTTGCTTGACTTTACCTTGCATCATGCCACCCTGCAAATTCGTTGAACTTTGACGATTCATAGGTGTAGCAGCCGAAGCAGATGGAGTGGCAGTCTCAACCTTCGGTGTCTGACCTTGGCTGAATGATGTGGCTACATCCGTAGTCGCCACTGCTGCGTTTGATTGATTTTGAGAATCTAGACCTAGAACTGGTCGGAGATGATCCTCAGCAAACTTCTGTGGGTTTTGCATTGGCAGCCTGTGCTCCACTTGAGTGTGACGAGCAAGCTCCTCTTGACTTTCGAATCCGGTGTTTTGACGTTCGCAAACCTCGTCGTTACATGGCCAGGTCGGCTTGGACGGAATCTTTGGCTCTGGGATTTGTTGACGTTTGACCTCCGGTGAGGGGACTTTGGTGATCTGGGGCGAGGAAGTCGATCCGGGAGTGCCTTGACCTTGGCCTGGTGTTCCATTTGGCTTCTGCTTCTTACGTGCGGGAATGTGGAGTTTCTCCGGAGTGAAAGCAGGAGGCTTCCCAGGGTATGTAGGCTGACCATGAGGAGACGAGGCACCAAATGGAAACGGTGGCTGGGATGACGTAGGGGCTGCTGGGGGATGAGAACCGCGGCTATTCGATCTTTGGTGGTTCATCTTGAGCAACTGCTGCTGCTGTTGCTGTAAATTAGCAGCATTAAGGGGCACACCTGCCTCCGAAGTTTGGGTCGTTGATACAGTAGATGGATTGGCCGATGCACCTTGGGGATCTGACGATCCACCATTCTTCTTAAACATTGGATTTTTATTGACAATATCCATTACCATTGTATTAAGAAACGTTTTAGCTTGCTCCACATCGGCGGGCCTCATCGAAAAAGTATCTTTGAGCTCCCTCATTGTAGCAGGGTCTTTGAATTGCTTCGTCAAGCGACATCGCTGAAAGGGGTTAGCGTTGTTCATTAACTTGTGGATCAGCCCGGGTTCAAAACTTACAGCACGGAAAAATGTTTTAGCTCGAGAATCATCACGAGTTTGTTGATACCACCTTAACATGGCCTTCGAGACGTTGTTAAGATGAGCAGGCATAGGTTCCAAGGCCTTGCGCATGCTTTGTTTCGACTCCTCATCCATAAAAATCTCACCGGGTGGGTTATCGTTGTAAGCCTTTTCTTCTTCGGCAGCAAATTCTTTGAATTTCCTGGTAATCATTTCCACCTCAGGGTTGCTTGGTGGCTGCTGCCTTGCGTTAAACATTCTACGTAGAGTAACCTCATAGGCTTTCTTTTGCTCTGGATCGAGTTTCGCTATCTGTTCTGGTGTGAGCCGGGTAATATTTCTCTGCTGTGGTGCTGGCGCTGGGCCCTGTTGTCCATTGGGATTTGGCACTTCTACAACATCATCGCTGCTAGCTCGTTTCAGATTATTCTTGGAAGGTTGAACAGGTGACGAGTTCTGTGCGGCTGCTGGCTTGTTATTTGGTTGAGGCCGGGGGCGATTGACAGGTGCAGGAATGGGTGTACCTGCAGGTTCCGGTGCCGAAGTTGCTGGCTTCTGCTGTGGCATTTGTCCAGATGGCTGCTGTGTATTCGCCATTTGGGCCGAGTTCGGTATTCCCTGCATCGTGTTTTGTGGAATCTGTTGACCATTTGTCTGCGCCATTGCAATTTGACGACGTTGCATATGATTTTGCATCAGGATATGTCGGAGTTGGTCATCAGTGGCGGCAAGAAGTTTACCACTTGAGTGATTACGAAGGTTCGCAATGTCCTGGGGCGTGAACTGTCGCATTGCTCCAGGTCCCATATTCATTCCCATAGGCATTTGAGTAGGATTCTGGCCCATTTGGGCAACAGGAGCCGACATTCTTTGAGGTGCCATAGGCATTGCATTCTGACCTGCGACTGGAGCCTGCGTGGGCATTTGGTTGAGCTGCTGTTGTTGTGCGGCTCGTCTCGCTTGACTAAGCTGCATTAGGTGCATCTTTTGTGCGTTCTTCACGGTTTCGAGTGCCTGTTGTGGCATCGTGGGAGTCGAGCTAACCCATTGTTTCAGTTGACCCCACTTCTTGACCTCTGGAGGGATTCCTGGTAATATTTGATTATTAGTGAGGAATTGTGCAGGGATATCCATGTTGTCCATTTGTTGCACCAGTCTGTTATTATCTGCAGGTAGATTTCCAGGCCGGGGCTGCATGGCTGCGTTCTGAGCCATTTGTTGTTGTACGATCAGTTGCTGTTGTTGCGCAGTCAAATTGTTCAATAATGACGCTGGGGGTCGCTGTCCCGGGTGTGTCATCATAAATTGACTCAAAGCATGTTGCTGTTGCAAGAGTTGTGCAGACTGTGGTCCAGGTTGTCCTTGACGGAGTGGATTATTATTTCCTTGAATAGCCATTTGTGGTGCCTGTTGCATTGGATTCTGCTGCTGCCGAGCCTGCCAATTCTTCGCAAATTCGCTCATCTTGTCAGGCGGCAAATTTGAGAAGTGCTGGCGTTGTTCTGGGCCCATATCTCGCAACATTGCGGGGTTGAATTGATTCATGGAATTACCAAACATTCTTGGGTTAGCGAAGCGTGGATCAAGTGACTGGCCAAATTGTGGATTATGCATCATTCCACCGGCCTCAGGGTGGCCCATCTGCTGAGATGGCGTCCTCATAGGAGCGTTGAGCGTATTCATGGCAGGGCTCTGTTGTGATTGCATGTTCCCCGGACCCATTCCACCAGGTTGACCTTGTAGTCCCATCTGTGCCTTAGCAGCCGCATTAGCACGAGCTTGTGCCTGCTGTGCCTGCTGTTGTTGCTGAAATCTCTGTGACTGTTGAGCGTTAAACATTTGGACTTGTTGGGCCTGCGTTCTCGCCATGGGATTCGAAGCTGAACGTTGTTCGTTCATGTTCATCGCTTGTCCTGGCATTGTAACATTAGGTTGAGGAGTGTTATTCCTTGGCGCACTGACAGGTACGACAACTTGACCTGCTTCCTGAGCCAAGACCCCCGCTTGCTGCTGTTGGCCGATTAAGTTTTCCATGTTGCCCAAGAAAGAATTAAAGTCTGGGCCCCCGCCCATGGTTGTAGGGGGTTGCGATTGACCATTCATTGGGCTTGGGTTCATGGAACGCTGTTGCTGCATGACCGGAGCCGTTGCAGGACCATTTTGTGGGTGCTGTGCAAGCGTAGGAT